TTCTCGCCAACCTGCAGGTGCCCATTTGTAATTCTTAGAATTTAAACAAATGAATGAAGAAAGAGACAAGGGAAACTTATCTTCATCCTGTTTCGTTCTGGGCTTCCTGAGCATTACAATCTCTTTCATTTACATTATTTCTATTGAACCGGTGTTTATTGCACCTTGTGGCCATTACACCAGTTTTCCTGGGTTCTTTGATTTTTCTTTCTCTTCGCCCTTGATAGACATAATTTAGTGAATGCTCCAGACTGAGCAGAATGTCACTTCCCAGGAGACTTACAGACCCCTAAATCTATGATTCTTCAAAGTGTCATTGTGGGGTTCACTTGTTCCCAGGGTTCCTTGGGTGAGGGTCTCCTGGCCCCAGAATCCTGGGCAGTGTGGTTATGGTGGTGGGAGTGGGGATGGCTGGTGTTGATTTCTCCCCCACCACCCTACTCATTCTCTACGGCCATGCTTAGAATTCCCTTTTCCCCTCAAACGTGGCCCCAAGTGAGGGACAGGGAGTGCATAGTTGCGGCAATCAGGGAGGCCTCCCTGGAGGAGGCAAGAAGGGGGCGGTGAGGGGAAGAGAGAGGATCAGCAGTGAGAAGTTTTTGGCTTTGGGGGGACATGAAGCGGCAGACTGGATCTTCACTCTTTACATTTTATCAAGAATCATGCTTCCCAGAGCCTGCCTTGTCTGGGTTCTTCATGGACCTTCCAGGCAGCCTCGAGGGCAGGGCAGTTTGATTGATGTCAGTTGTGTAGATGAGGAGGTGCAGGACCAGAGAGGCTCAGGGGCTTTCCTAAGGTTACACAGTGAAGAGGGGCTAAGTTGGAGCCAGACCCCCAGGCATACTCCTTCTCCCTCCCAGCCCTTGCTTCCCACGGAGCAGCAGATGCTCCTGCTGGGAGCCCAGCTCCTGTGGCATTTGGCTGCCACCTGGGCCCACTGGCAAGGAGTCCGGGGAGCTGGAAATGACTCTCCTGACATTTCCTGCGGAACCAGCCCATTGGACGTAGTGACCGCCCCCTGCAGGGCAGTGCTGTCTCAGCGCTTCCTTCGAAATGGGGGCCTTTGACTGTGGTTCCTCTCCCCTGTCTCCGTGGTGACGGTGGTGTGTACCCCCAGAACCGGCACGAGATGCTGACCCTGGAGCCCCTGCACACGCTGCTGCGTATAAAGTGGAAGAAGTTTGCCAAGTACATGTTCTTCCTGTCCTTCTTCTTTTATTTCTTCTACAACATCACCCTGACGCTCATCTCTTACTACCGACCCCGGGAGGAGGAGGTACGTGGGCCCCTTGATGGGGGGAAGGGGGGAGGAATGGGGTGGTCAGGGCTGCAGGAGCTTGGAGCCATCCCATGTACAGATGGGGAAACTGAGGCCCAGAGAGGCCGAGATTTTCCTCGGCTTCCCTAATTGTCGTCCCTCACGTTTCTAGGGAACCAAATATGTCTTCGGAGCTTAGCTGGGCTAAGTCCCAGGTGCTCAGCCTCAGGCTGACCCATGTTGGGAGGAGAATTAGGAGACCCAGAGCCCAGGCTCTGTCTAAATCTAGAGCTGATTGTGTGTTTCTGATGTGAGGGCCACAGGATATGGGAGTGGGGCAGTGAGGGGGCGGGGTCGGTCACTCATACAAGATTTCCCACCACTCTGGGCCTTAGTTTCCATGCATTTCCCAGGCACAGAGTTTCAGCTTTATTTGACTGTGATGAGGTCCTGTGAGTGAATGTGGATGGTTCCTGTAAGGAGGCTTGAGGGCTGTTAGCATGTTCCTCGCTGTGGAGATCTGGATTCCCAGCATGGGTGGGGAAGGCAGGGACAGGGGCTGCCATTCCTCCTCTAGCCTTGTACAGAGATTGGGCCCCCCTTCTGGCTTCTGGCCCAGGCTGAGGGTTCTGCAAGGTCCCTCCAGAGCTGGCACTACCCCTGCCCTCCTCACCCCCCATCTTGCACCATCCATTCCTCCCCTTCTTCTCAGGCCCTGCCGCACCCCCTGGCCCTGACGCACAAGATGGGGTGGCTGCAGCTCCTGGGGAGGATGTTCGTGCTCATCTGGGCCATGTGCATTTCCGTGAAGGAGGTGAGTGAGCCGCTAGACCCTCCGGACTGGCCTGCGATGCGGGCAGGTGACAGCAGGCTTGGTTTTGATCCCGCCCTGCTCGGCCATTACTGCTGGGGGGCTCTGGGGAGCCATTCCCCTTCTAAGCTTCATATTTCTTAGTTACAAAATGGAAATAAATAAGCAGGTCTATCTTTTTTTTTTTATATAGATTTTTTATTGATTAAGATATTACATATGTGTCCTTGTCCCCACGTTACCCTCTACCCCCCGCCCCCCGCTCTT